CCACCAGCTTGCCTAAGGAGGTGTGAAATGGCCCAGGTCAGAAACGGAGCAGGTCAAAACTCCCATGGTGATCAGTAGTGGGATCGTGCCTGTGAATAGCCACTGCACTCCAGCCTGGGCAACATAGCCCTGTCTCTTAAAAAAAAAAAAGAAAAAGAAAAAATCCTATTCTGAAAAAACCTGCCTTTTCCCAGATTGCCTCAAGAAGAAAGACTCTAATAGAAGAAAGACTAGTTGCTGGCACCTGTGATAATCACTGATATTCACATTCTGTTTTTCTTCTTTCCCAAGCACCTGCTAGGAAAATGCTTCCCCACCCCTTTGATGTTAGGTATAGCCATGTGGCTGGCTGTGGGCAATGAAATGGAACCCCTGTCACCTTGAGGGTGAAAGTCTTCAAGAGTTAGTGTGCAATTTGCCACGTTTCTTCTTCCTATGGTAATGACTAGGGGTGTTCCTTGTTACGGTGGAGGCTGTCAGCCAGGGTCTCTGAGTGAAGACTTTGTGAAGCAGAGCCCTTCATAAAACAGATGTGTGTGTGTTAAGCCCTGAGATGTAAAGGTTGTTACAGGAGCATAGCCTAGCCTGCCCTGACTGTACAGTACCTGAGATGGTACCTCTAGTGACACTCAAATAACATAAAAGAGATAAGGGAAGTTGAATTTCAATCTCTTATTTTTATACATTACTTTAGGCTGGGTGTGATGATGGTAATCCCAGCACTTTGGGAGGCTGAGGCGGGCGGATCAACTGAGGTTGGGAGTTAGAGACCAGTCTGGCCAACATGATGAAACCCTGTCTCTACTAAAATACATTAAAAAAAAAAAATTAGCTGGGCGTGGTGGCATGTGCCTATAATCCCAGCTACTCAGGAGGCTGAGGCAGGAGAATTGCTTGAACTCTGGAGGCAGAGGCGGCAGTGAGCCGAGATTGTGCCACTGCACTCCAGCCTGAATGACAGAGCAAGATTCTGTCTCAAAAAAAAAGTTAATGTTTATATGAAAATAGAAGTTTGGGCTGGGTGCAGTGGCTCACACTTGTAATCCTAGCACTTTGGGAAGGTGAGGCAGGTGGATCACTTGAGCCCAGGGGTTCAATACCAGCCTGGGTAACATAGGGAGACCTCGTCTCTTCAAAAAATACAAAAATTGGCCGGGCGCGGTGGCTCACGCCTGTAATCCCAGCACTTTGGGAGGCCGAGGCGGGTGGATCACAAGGTCAAGAGATCAAGACCATCCTGGTCAACACGGTGAAACCCCGTCTCTACTAAAACTACAAAAAATTAGCTGGGCATGGTGGCGCGTGCCTGTAATCCCAGCTACTCAGGAGGCTGAGGCAGGAGAATTGCCTGAACCCAGGAGGCGGAGGTTGCGGTGAGCCGAGATCGCGCCATTGCACTCCAGCCTGGGTAACAAGAGCGAAACTCCGTCCCCAAAAAAAAAAAAAAAAAGAAAAATACAAAAATTAGCCAGGTGTGGTGGTGTGCTCCTGTAGTCCCAGCTACTTGGTGAGCTGAGGTGGGAGGATTGCTTGAACCCAGGAGGTTGAGGCTACAATGAGCCATGATTGTGCACTTGCACTCCAGCCTGGGCAATAAAGTGAGACCCTATCTCAAAAGAAAAAAAAAAGGAAAGAAATTGTAAGTTTGCACAAAACTTGGCTTGTATTTGGTTATGTAAAGTATTGCAGCCGGGCATGGTGGCTCATTTCCATAACTAACAGTTCAGGAGGCTGAAATGGGAAGATTGCTTAAGCCAGGAGTTCAAGACTGCCCTGGGCAACACAGGGAGACCCCCCTCTCTACAAAAAATAAAAATTACTGGGGCATGGTGGTGCCCGCCTGTGGTCCCAGCTACTTGAGAGGCTGAGGCGGGAGGGTTGCTTAAGCCTGGAAGGTTGAGGCTTCAGTGAGCCATGATCACTAAAATAAAATGTTTCTAGTAATTGTGTTCATTTTCTAAAAATTTCAAAGCCATTGCTTTTGACTTCTGCATATATTTTGCAAAACTTTTTGGTGCCAGAGTTAGGAGGAGGTGTTGGTGAAATAATCCATGTAAAAATATGTTTGTTATATAATGCAAAGAATGAATGTGGAAAGTATAGCAGAGTTATAGTGGGTGGAAGTATTTCAGCACTTTGCTAATGTGAAAGAATATTTCTTATGTAAATACAAGCGAAAAGTAGTTTTAAAAAAGTGGCTAACCATAGGCAAAATGGTAAACCGCTTTTCTTTAATACCCAATTTCTTTGATTTTTCTAGTTATAATTCCTTCCCTTCCTTTCAGTTATTTTGCAAGAGCATCAGACTATATGAATGTGGTCATATTTTCAACATCTATCCAATAGAAGCATTAAGGTCATGGGCTGCAGTATCTTTCTCTTGTGTATCTTCCCTTTTCCCCTCCCTTTTTCTCTGCAGCCTTGGTCCTTTTTTTTTTTTTTTTTTTTTTGAGACAGAGTCTTGCTGTGTCACCCAGGCTAGAGTGCAGTGGTTCAATCTCTGCTTACTGCAACCTCCACCTCCCGGATTCAAGCGATTCTCATGCCTCAGCCTCCCGAGTAGCTGGGATTACAGACGTGAGCCACCACGCCTGCTAATTTTTTGTATTTTTAGTAGAGATGGGCTTTCCCTATGTTGGCCAGGGTGGTCTTAAACTCCTGGCCTCAAGTGATCAGTCCACCTCATGTGATCAGTCGAACTCCCAAAGTTCTGGGGTTATAGGTGTGAGCCACTGTACCTGGCCAGTCCTGACATCTTATTCACCGAAATCTTTTGCGCCACCCCCTGCTTTGTCTTCCCCCAGAAGTTTCTTCTGTTTTTGGAAAAAGATCAAGAGTGAGATAAAGGGGAGGGTAGAAATAAATGCCTGTGAGAGAAGTAGGTCAAACAGAATAGATTTTATCAAATCTCAGTACATTCTAAATATAGGACATCTGATCTATAAAAGGAATAGAAAATATTCATGGACTAATGTTTCTCTCTTTACTTGAACCTCTTACCTACCTTCTCCCTTTAGGTCAGCAAAAAATAAAGGATATAGAAAAATTTGAAATAGCGAAATTGAAAGGTGAATAAAGTTTTGATGTATTTATTGTATTATATTTTCCCTTCCTGTTTTGCATTTCAAAGTCCTTGAAATCTGATGGCCTTATTTTTGCTATGAATAAACACACACACACACACACACACACACACACACACACACACACAAACACAGTGTTTAACACTTTCTAGATATAGTTTCTTTGAACTAGCTTATTCAGAGCTACATTTTATGTTTTCTTTTGTCTTCTTAAATTATTTTGGCCTAATGGACTATGCAGTACCTTTCTCTATTAGGTCCTCCTACTAACCATTTAATCTGTGTCAATCTTGTGTTCCCCAGAGGACAGTTTCTGCCTTGAGGCCCTTGACTCTGAAGCATATTTTTGCTACTCATGATGTTTTCTTCTGCCTGAAAGACTTTACTGATTTTTCTCTGCAGAGTACATTTTACCTGTCCTTCAAGGTATGGCTTAAATCCCATTTCCTCTATTAAATTTTAAAACTTTCCCTAGTTACTTTCCACTTGTGCACTATACAACTGCAAGTCTGTGATAGGATGAATAATGGTCCCCCAGAGATATCCAATTCAGGTCCTTGGAGTCTGTGAATGCTAGTTTACATGGCAAAAGGGACTTTGCAGATGTAATTAAATTAAGGACCTTGAGATGAGAAGATTATCCTGGATTATGCAGGTGGGCTTAATGTAATCATGAGAGTCCTTATATAAAGGAGGCAGGAGAATTGGATTGGCAGAGAAGGTGATGTGACAAGGGAATCAAGGGGAAGATGTGTGACAATGAAAGCAGGGGGGAAAAGGCCATGTGACATGGGGCCATGAGCCAAAAAAGTTGCAGCTTCTATAAACTGGAAAAGGCACAATTCTAAGGAAGCAGATTCTTCCATAGAGCCTCCAGAAGTAAGTAGCTGTGTTGATACCTTCAGTTTAGCCCACTGAGTCTGATTTCAGACTTCTAAGCTCCAGACCTGTAAGAAAATAAAACTGTGTTGTTTTAGGCTACCAAGTTTGTAATTATTACACTAGCCATAGGAAACTAAGATGACATCATGTCCTTTACATTCCTTTAGGTCTGTTCCACATAATTTAGCGCTTATTGTCATGCTCACTAATTCTGCTATGTTTAAATGGTAGAATATAAATTCCTGGTGCACAGGAACCAGGATTTTTACTTTTACCCTCTACAATGCCTAGTCCAGTTCTAGGTATTAAGGTGTTTGGAGTGAATTATAACTTTGGTGCATGAAAGGGAATGGGAGAAATGAAAGGCATTTAAAAAGACATATAAATCAACAAGCTGTATTTACTTCCTTGCAATCAGATTTTGATATTTTGCTTTTGAGCTCTGTGCCACGTGCATCGTTATGTTAAGCATATAGCAGCCATTTCAGGGAGACTGGAACACAGAGGGAATTCAACAAGCACCTGATGTGTTGGTAACCCCAACAGAGGGTTCTGGATCTCATGCAAGAAAGAATTTGGGGTGAGTCCACAAAGTAAAGTGAAAACAAGTTTATTAGAGAAGTAAATAAACAAAAGAATAGCCATTCCATAGGCAGAGCAGTGGCATGGGCCGATTGGCTGAGTATTACTTACGGTTGTTTCCTGATCATATGCTAAACAAAGGGTGGATATTCAATGAGTTCTCCAGGGAAAGGGAGTTCCTGGAACTCAGGGTTCCTCCCTTTATTGGACCATATAGAATAACTTCTGGAGGATGTTGCTATGGCATTTGTAAACCGAGATAGCGCTGGTGGGAGTGTCTTTTAGTGTGTTAATGCATTATAATTAATGTATTATGAGCAGTGAGAGTGACCAGATGTCACTTTTGTCAAATTCTTGGTTTTGGCTAACTTCTTTACTGCATCCTGTTTTATCAGTGGGGTCTTTGTGACCAGTATCGTGGGCCAACCTTGTGTCTCATCCTGTTAGGAAGAATGCCTATCCTCCTGGGAATGCAGCCCAGCAGGTCTCAGCCTTATTTTACGCAGCCTCTGTTCATGATGAAGTCACTCTGGTTAGAATGCCTCTAACAGATGCATTGAGCTGAAATCTGTGGGGGTAGAGGGAAAAGGAGAAAAAGAAAAGCCAGATGGGTTTGGTACAAAGTCCTCCTTGTCTATTTAACTGATAAGTTTTTGTCACATTAAGTTAAAATGCTGAAAAAGATAATCAAATTTCCAACATGAATTTTTCCTTAAAGCAAAATGAAATATAATTAAAAACAGGCAGGGTATAACAGTTTACTTTTATCACTGAATTTAAATAACCAGTATTTTGTCCAGGTATGGTGGTTCCACCTGTAATCCCAACACTTTGGAAGGCTGAGGCAGGAGGATCACTGATGCTCAGGAGTTCAAGACGAGCCTGTGCAACATAGTGAGAATTTGCTTTTATTTTAAATAATAATTTTTAAAAACCCATATTTTAAAATCCATGTATTATGCTTAATATTGTGCTAAGAGATAAAGAGGTACAGATACCCCATAAGACACGGCTTTATTCTAAATGGCCTTACTATCTTGTTAGGAGATAATGCTAACAACCAACTAAGGTTACCAGGCAGTTGATCATGTGCCGTATTGTGTGACTCAGACTTTTCCAGTTATAGATATCTGGAAATGGGGCTAGAGAATCAACACTTCATTCACCGAGTATTTATTGAGAACCTATTATGATTCTCTGTGAATAAGAGTGTATGTTTGGAGTTTACAATCTAATAAAGGGAGACAAGGGAAATTAATACAAGAATGGATTAAACAGATGGGCACAGTGGCTCATGCCAGTAATCCCATTACTTTGGGAGGTTGAGGCTGGCAGATTGCTTGAGCTTAGGAGTTTGAGACGAGTCTGGGCAACATAGTAAAACCCGTCTCTACCAAGGGGGGGAAAAAGAATAGATTAAGTGCTAAACTAGGATTTGTACTGTAGTTGATAAAAGGTTATTACTGTAACTTCTGAATGAAAGAAGTGGGATTGTGAATGATTTTAAAGTAAAGGTATTATTTAGGCTGAACCTTGAAAGAGAAGTAGGACTTTTTTTTTTTTTTGAGACAGAGTCCAAAAAAAAAAAAAATTAAAAAAAAAAAAAAAGAGTCTCACTATATCACCCAGGTCAGAGTGTAGTGGTGTGATCTTGGCTTACTGCAACCTCCAACTCCCAGGTTCAAGTGATTCTCTGCCTCAGCCTCCCGAGTATCTGGGATTACAAGCAGGTGCCACCACACCCAGCTAATTTTTGTGTTTTTAGTAGAGATGGGGTTTTATCATGTTGGCCCGGCTGATCTCAAACGCCTGACCTCAGCTGAGCAGCCCACCTCGGCTTCCCAAAGTGGCAGGATTACAGGCATGAGCCACTGTGCCCTAAAAAGTAGGACTTTGAAAATGTTGATTAAGTCAAACTCTGTAAAATGTTTGAAGAGATTTATTTTGAGCCAAATGTGAATGACCAGTGGCCTGTGACACAGCCCCAGATCCTGAGAACATATGCCTAAGGCGGTCAGGCTGTTACCAGAAAAGGGTACCAATCCACATGCCAGGAGAGGCTTCTTGGATCTCCCACAAGAAAGAATTTGGGTGAGTCCACAGAGTAAAGTGAAAGCAAGTTTATTAAGAAAGTAAAAGAATAAAGAATGGCTACTCATAGGCAGAGCAGCAGCTTAGGCTGCTCGCTGACTATACTTATACTTATTTCCTGATTACATGCTAAATAAGGGGTGGATTATTCATGAGTTTTCCGGGAAAGGAGCGGGCAATTCCTGGAACTGAGGGTTCCTCCCCTTTTTAGACCATATAAGGTAACTTCCTGACATTGCCATGGCATTTGTAAACTGTCAGTGGTGGTGGGGGGTTTGTCTTTTAGCATGCTAATACAAAATAATTAGCAAGTAATGAGCAGTGAGGATGACCAGAGGTCACCTTCAGCACCATCTTGGTTTTGGTGGGATGTGGCTGGCTTTTTTACTGCTAGCAGTTTTATCAGCAAGGTCTTTGTGACCTGTTGTCTTGTGGCGATCTCCTATCTCATCCTGTGACTAAGAATGCCCAACCTCCTGGAGATGCAGCCAGTAGGTCTCAGCCTCATTTTACCCAGCCCCTGTTCAAGATGGAGTTGCTCTGGTTCATATACCTCTGACAAGGCTGCAGTGTGGTTTTATATACTTTAGGGAGACATGAGACATAAGGCATTCATCAAAACATGTAAGATGTACACTGGGTTGGTCTGGAAAGGCGGGACACCTGGAAGCTGAGACTCCAGGGTCACAGGCAATAAAGATTATCAGGCTGGCATGGTAGCTCACACCTGTAATCCCAGCACTTTGGGAGGCTCAGGTGAGAGGATCACCCGAGGCCAAGAGTTCCAGAGCAGCCTGGGCAACACAGTGAGACTATCTCTGTATCAGGAAATAAGCAAACAACAAAGAAGAGTTACTATCTAAAGACCTGGAGTCCATAGAATGTCTGGGTTAAGATAAGGGGTTTTGATTGACAAGCCTAAGGTAAAAAAAAAAAAAAAAAATCAAAATGAAAAAATCAAAATAGAAAAAAAGATAAGGGGCTGTGCAGATCCAGGATTTTGTTTTTTGTTTTTTTGAGATGGAGTTTCATTCTTGTTGCCCAGGCTGAAGTGCAATGGTGCGATCTCGGCTCACTACAACTTCTGCCTCCCAGATTTAAGCAATTCTCCTGCCTCAGCCTCCCAAGTAGCTGGGATTACAGGCACCTGCCACCATGCCCAGTTTTTTTTTTTGTATTTTCAGTAGAGATGGGGTTTCACCACGTTGGCGAGGCTGGTCTCAAACTCCTGACCTCAGCTGATCCAACCGCCTTAGACTACCAAAATGCTGGGATTACAGGTGTGAGCCATCACGCCCATCCAGAAACCAAGGTTTTATCATGTAGATGCAGCCTCTAGGTAGCAGGCTTCAGAGCTCTTATCAGACCTAAAAAGGTGCCAGACTTGGTTAATTCCCTTGTGGGGCGGGGAAAACACCTGGAAAGGAACAGGGCTTTCGTACAGACTGTAGGTTTTCCTATACTAGATACAGCTTTGCAGGGCCATTTAAAAATATGTCAAAGAAATATATTTTGGGATTAAATAATTCAACTTTTTTTAGGGCCTGCTATCTGTCATGTGACGCTGTACTAGAGTCAGGCTGGCATTTGATGTCAAAAATGAAAGTCTACAAAAGCTAGAAAAAGTCTGTTCTGGCAGTCTTAAGATCTCTTGTTTTCATGTGAATGCTGTTCAGCCGGGCCTGAATTCCAAAGGGAGGAGGGTATAATGAGGCATGTCTGTCCCACCCCCAAACTAAACCCCCTACCCCCACTTCCATCTAGATGATTAGAAAACTAGATTTTCAGGTTTACTTTGGAATGCCCTTGGCCAAGGTGGGGAGGGGGTGTCCATTAGTCAATTGTGGGGTTTAGAATTTTATTTTTGGTTTACAAAAAGAACAGAATATTTCAGGCTGAAGCATAAGAAAGAGCACTGCAGACATGAAAGGGCTTAGTTTTAGGAGAATGCTTAGGCAGACATGAAAGGGCTTAGTTTTAGGAGAATGCTCAGATGGAGTAAAGGATGTCTTGAAGGGTAGCACATTATTATTGGTGTTGTAACAAGTTATCGCAAACTTAAGACACAGATTATTTTACAGTTCTGTTGGTCGGAAGTCCAACACTGATAGCAAGAGGATAAAATCAAGGTGTCGTCAGAGCTGAGTTCCATTAGAAAGGCTTCGGGGGTATGTTTCCTTAGGTTCCAGCTTCTGGAGGTCACCCGCAATGCTGCAGGCTCCCTTCCTTTATATTCAAAGGCAACAATGTTGTATCTCTAATCATTCTTCATATTCACTTGTCATTCTTGACTCTCTTTTGCAGTTTTGAAGGCCATTGTGATTACAATCGGCCCACTGGAACAATCCAGGATAATCATTTTTTTTTTTTTTTGAGACGGGGTCTCGCCCTGTCACCCAGGGTAGAGTGCAGTGGAGATACCCAGCTCACTACAACCTAAGCCTTCCTGGTTAAAGCGATTCCAGGATAATCTATTTCAACACCAGGTAATTAACAACCTTAATTCTCCTTTGCTATGCAAGCTAACACATTCACAGCTTCTGATGTTTAGGCTGTGGACATCTTTGAGGGGCCATTATTCCGCCTGCAATAGGTAATAATAAGGTGGAGCTAATATTAAGAGGAAAAGAGGCTCAAAGAGGAAAGGGTGTGAATGCACTAAGGGCCATGGGGAGCCAGTGCAGGTTTCAGAGGCTTGCAAATTCTTATTTTTTTAAAGTAAGCTTTGGTTACAGCTGAGAAAACTGAACAGGCATAATTGGGGAGCAACATTAGGAGGCCACAATTAGAGTTGAGATAAGTAGGTATAAGCTAGAGAGGGCAGAGCTAAATCGTTTTCTTTGATCCAAAGCTGCCTATGCTCTTTTGTAAGTGTTTTCCAACAAAATTCATGAGACCATTCCACAGGATCTCAGCAAGCGCAGTTTCTGATAACTTGGCCGAATTTGTTTAGTAGGTGCTGCAACGGAGGGCTTAAATCACTCACTTAACAGGGGAAGACCAGAATAGTGGCAAAGCCCCAGTTAACAAGGCTGAGGCCTGCAGAGACCTAGGCACCGAATGTTTGTTTGCATTTTTTTTTTTTTTTTGAGGCAGTCTTCCTCTGTCTCCCAAGCACAACCTCTACCTCCCGGGTTTGAGCCATTCTCCTGTCTCAGCCTCCTAAGTAGCTGGGATTACAGATGTGTGCCACCACGCCCAGCTAATTTTTGGCATTTTTAGTAGAGACAGGGGTTTCACCATGTTGGTCAGGTTGGTCTCGAACTCTTCTTTTTTTTTTTTTTTGTTGAGACGGAGTTTTGCTCTTGTTACCCAGGCTGGAGTGCAATGGCGCGATCTCGGCTCACTGCAACCTCCGCCTCCTGGGTTCAGGCAATTCTCCTGCCTCAGCCTCCTGAGTAGCTGGGATTACAGGCACGCACCACCATGCCCAGTTAATTTTTGTATTTTTAGTAGAGACGGGGTTTCACCATGTTGACCAGGATGGTCTCGATCTCTTGACCTAGTGATCCACCCGCCTCAGCCTCCCAAAGTGCTGGGATTACAGGCGTGAGCCACCGCGTCCGGCTGGTCTCGAACTCTTGAGCTCGAAATCCGCCCGCCTCGGCCTCCCAGAGTGCTGGGATTACAGGATTGAGCCACTGCGCCTGGCGGCACTGAATTTTTTAATGGTCCAAATCGCAGGGAAAGCGCGCATTCCCTGTTCTTAAGGTTTTCCTTAAACACGGAGACAATACTAAAAAGCTGTGCCACATTAGGGCTGGAAGTCCTGTTTTCTCCCTAGCCTCATGAACAAAGCCTGACAGCTCGCCCGCGTCCAACAAGGACAACGCTCTTCCGGTCTTCGTGACCCTGGGGAGCAGCCCAAACCCGCCACCGTCCTCTCCCAGCTCCCACCAATCGGGTCGCAGGGAGCCCCGCACTGCTGAGTCCGCTGACACTGCGTCCCCGGCCAGACGACGATGTCAGCGTGGGGTCCTCACAGCGCCATGGAGTAGAGGCTACTCTCGAGCACGTGACCGGAGCCTCCGTCACTTCCGGGTGCGACAGTAGCTTCCGTCCGCTGAGACGCTGGCGTCATTAGGTGCCTCCTCTTTGCTTCTGACGGGCTACACGTCTTCTTCCCTTTCCCTCTGTTCCCAGCTGGAGGGACATGAGTGTCCCTGGACCGTCGTCCCCGGTCGGGGCCCTGACACGGCCACCCGACAGCCTGGAGGCCGGGGAGTCAGCGCCGGGTACGTACTGTCGGGCGGGACTCGCGGCCTGGGCTGGGTGTGAGGGGCCGGGACCTGAGTGGGTAGGACTCCGGAGAAACCCTGGGGGAGTAAGCGCCTTTTGGCAGCTGCGGTCCCCGGGCTCTGCCCCTAGTGCAGAAGTGGGGAACCGCGCTGGCCCCTCTGCCCAGCGGAATGGGCGGAACTGAAGTCCCGCGGGGAAGCGGTGTAGTGGGGTGCGATTGGAGGCGGTTGATGGTGAAGCCATTATGAGTTTGTGTGTTGACTGCAATACGGTAGTGATGGGGGTTGCATTTACCGGAAAGATGATCAGTTTAGAATTCAGAGAGGTGACATATCCTATAATACTGATCACTCACTCATGAAATTCTGGTCAGCTTGGTGGTATTACCTCATCCCTATTCCTGCAGCAGTCTTTTTCAATAGAGTCCCTGGAGAGATTTAAACTCTAATGCCCTAAGGCATCAACTGAATGGAATTAACTTGCTCTGCACCCAAAATGGTACTATTGATGTACCATCCTTGAGAGAACTGAGACAATGGTCACTTAGAGCATTTTCTGTGTTCTGTGGTTCAGATGAGGCTCTAGATGAGAAAGGCTGCAGGGCTTTGGATGTGCTTTTTGTTTTACTTTCTGTTTCAGAAGTACAGGGGTTACCGCCAAATAGTGCTCTGAGCACTTTCCTGTCCATGCTCAACGATCTCTTCACACTTTCATAAGTCGCTTCTATAAATATGACTTTCTTGTATGTATTCCCAACTTGGGCCCCTCTCTTAATTCTTGTTTGCTTCTCCATCTGCTAGCTGGATACTTTGACGTGATTGTTTTGCACTAATCTCACATAAGGCATGTACATAAATGAAAACATGTCTCATCCTGTTAATGGTGGTAGGTCACTCTGACTTAAAACTGAAATTTCTCTGGACTTTTTCCTTTTTCTCTCCTTCCACCTCTAGGGGATTCTCTTACACAATTTCCATCACCTTGTGATTTCAGCCTTAAAACAGCCGTTGAAAGGCTAGTCCACCTCCACACTCTTACCCTTTCAAGGCATCTGCCCCACTGCTGTCACATCAGTGTCCCAAGTTAAAGCTTCAGTCATGTCATTCCTGTGCTCAGAAACCTTAAATAGCTCCTCACTACTTATTAGCAAACGTCCAAACCATTCACTTGGCATTCAGAGGCCCTTACTGGCCTTCCACATGGTCTTACAGCTCACTGTTGCTATGCTACATATGCCCCATGCCTCTCCAGAAGAGTCCTACACTGTCTTCCAGCCTTTCCCCATGCTGCTTTCTTTATCCATATTGCATCCAATCTACTCCTGCTGTAGATTTCTTCCCCATTTGGAAATAGTCCTCACAGATTGTTGGTGGGAGTACAAATTGGTGCCAGTTTCTTAGGAGGGCAGTTTGGCAGTGTCTGTTTAAAAAAATGTGTAAACTGTTTGTCCCAACAATCTACTTCGAAGAAATTTTTCTACAGAAAGTGACACAAATAAACCGATAAGCAAGGAAGCTCACTGCAGCATTGTTTGAAATAGCAAAAAGTGAAAATATCCTAAATAACCCATCCGTGGGGGACTGGTCAAACAAACTATAGTAGAATTCTCCTTTGTTAAAA